GAGTGAATGGAGGGAACATGGGATCAGAAGCCAGGTAGGAATGGAGCAGGGTTTTTCAACCTTTTTGGATCAGTGTACCCCTGGCGCCCGGACGCAGACCAGTGTACCCCCAGCAGCCAGATGTGGAGTGTGGGGGGGGGGGGCACACCTTCCCCTGCCCTTTGCGTCCGGCTGGGCGGGTGGTGCTTGCGCGGCAGCGTGGCGACGCTCCATCCTCACCTGCCCACACATACCCACTAGGGCCTTCTCAAGTACCCCTGGAATAGAGGATGAAAGGAGTAGAGGAGAGACCAGGAAAAGCAGGACAAAATCATAGGGCATTTATACACCTACCTTTTCATGGTGCGACACACCAGAGTTAATTAATCGAGTCTGCTCCACATGTGAGCTGATGCGCTCGGCACTGTGTTGCATATATTTATATAAACGGCAAAATGCACGTCAGTGCTGGGAAGATGGCAGTGGTGCACTGTTATGCAGATATTAAAGATGTTAAAGTATCAAAGCATGGGGAATAATCATTTAACACAGAAAGAAAATGACAGACACTACAGGAATGGCCTGGAGACCTGAAAAAAATGAAAAAACACTACTGAAATATAGAAATAAAAGTGATAAAGATGACAGGTTTTTTTATTTAGATAACTTTAAAAAATATTTAATTATGCATTAGCTCGCTTTGCACCCAAATAACCTGGATATTTTCCTATCTTGGGGGGATAACTCCCTCTGACCTGTCTACTAATCATTTTATGGCAACATTATTTTCCTTCTGTAAAGTAGACAGTTGTGATACAATCATATTGCCTGACATGCTGTCAGATAAGTCTTATCCTTCCCCCCTTAATTACAATTGAATGCTGTGACTGCTGACGTGAAAAGGAACTCAAAGTTTTTATAACAACTAACACAGAAAGTACAGTTGGGATGTCTTTTCATAGCATCTGATGAAGCAAGCTGTTGTTTATGAAAGTTTATGCATCTTTGATTTAGCTAATTTATAAGGTGCAGCTCTACTCTGCTTTTTCTTATTATCCACTGGGCCAGAAGAACAACTTTTCTCCATATTGGTATCTAGCACAATACATTTAAAATTCCATTCCTGGGTCAACTTAAATTCAACCACTTGCTAAAAGAGAAAAAGCTAGTGTAGTTGTAAGCATTCTCCAAAAATGCTTGACTGTACTTTTAAGACTCTCAGCAAAGGCATTCAGCATTTGATCTTGTTCTATCAAAGCAGCAAACTCAGGAAAACAGCCAAGGCTAAGAATGAAAGGGACAGACAAAATAGTATATGGGGTGGAGGGGGTGAACTCAAAAGTGGACAAAGAATGGGGCTAAAAGTAAAGTTAATGGAGTTCACCAAAAATAGGGAAGAAGATAAGAGGAGAAGTGATAGATGGGAGATGATGAATGGAATTAGTGAGGCAAAGAGGGAGCATATGTGAAGGGCAGCAAGTGAAAGAGGGCATTCAGGCTGAACAAGAGCAGTGCTTCATAAAAAACATCAAATAAAAGGACCACAATGGCATGTTGAGTTGGTCATTTATCTAGATCAAATTAAGAGATTCTGGAAAGAAAATTAAAAGCAGCTGGCTGACTTAGACTGGACGTCATCAGGTAAATTAAGTCGTCCTAGGTGCAAGCAGGGGACTGAGGTAAAAGGTAGAATGTGCATTGAAGTTAGTAAAAATGGAGAATATGTAGAAGCAGGAGGAGGAAAAAGATGATGATGGCTAGGATTAGAAAGGTATAAAAGAGCACAACATTACACAACTTCTAGGGGAAGAAGATGCAACAGATGACCGGATAAGGAAAGAAGCTGAAATTAAAAAGACAAGTGGATTTCAATACTTATGAGTCATAAATAGGAAATACAGATGATAGGTAAAATTGACTTCTTGGATATAGACTAGGAATTAAGGGAGCAGGGAGAAGGATGGCTGTCTTAACAGTTTGATGAAAGCAGATAACAGTATGGGAGAGCAAGAGAAAAAGATAAATGATAGGTGTTGGCAAAGGAGAGATTGCCAGAGTGGGCAGTAAAGAACTGGATGGAAATGAGAATTTGGGAGTGCAAGGAGAGAGAGGGGAAAAATAACTAGGCAAAGTTCTGTAGTAGCCTTAACTCATACAATGTTGGAACAAGTACCCAGTCAATTGCCTGATATCCACATTAAAAGGAGGTAGTGGTAAGCACTATTAATGACAATTGAGATGAGGTGTTCCATTGAAATTATAGTTCATAGAAACAAGGAATGGAGAGGTGGTGGCAAAGAGAAGAGTACCATGTTTTTCTCCTCTTACCACCCCCACCCAAAAGTCCATCAATTTCCAGCGTCCTTTAAAAGGTAGCAACATGGCTTATTTCTCCCCACTAAGTGAAAAAATATTCCAACTACAACTCACCATTTGCTATTTTATTTGTATTAAATATTTGATAGGCAATTTGTCAACCATATTCATTATCTTTAAGAGTCAAACTACATTGCAAATTGCAGTTCACATCCAGAAACAATACATAATACATTGGTTCTATTTAAGTGATGAAATTTACATTAGAAATGGAGCATTCTTTGGTTAAATAAGAACAGCAGTTAAAACTAGCTGTGCTTAAAGTGTACATGCATTACACTTGCAAAAGTTAGCAAAAAATTGTATCACTGTTCAAAAGGACTCAAACTTCACACCTCCCCCCACAGCAAATATACAAGCATAAATAAATACATCTCTCAAATTTTCAGGACCAATATAGAAGTTTCAACTAAAAACTTGCACTGGAAGGCTTTTTTGAGAAAACTACAGACATTAATTATTTCTACTGAAGTACAAAATGCATGACAGTTAATTTGCATGTCAGTTTAATTTCTTACCGATATTAAGGGTGAAATCCTTAAGATCACAAGGAAGTCAATGGGACTTTTGCTATTAACTTCAGAAGGAAAAATATTAGAGCAAGTGGTCATAAACCTTTATAGAATCTTTCTAGTAATATCTGGGATAGCTTTCATTTACACTAACCATACCATCACATGTAAACGAGGTATTTGTCAGTTTAAAAAAATGCTAATAATGGATTAGGCTACTAATTTAAGGCCCAGTTAAAAAAAACAGCATCTCAAAACCCCCTTTACCCCAAAGAAGTCTGTTCAGGATCACAAGGGAAAGTTTTGGATGGGCTTCTGCAGCCTTTCAGAAGCTTTGCAGTGGAGGAGCTAGCCTCTGAAATGAAATGGCTGTTTCTTTGCCATCCAAAGTGCCCACTGCTGCTTTCTCACTGTCTCATTCATGCCCTGTAGGTCTAACAAGAGTCTGAGGGTTTGTCTAGACAGGAAATTTAGTGCAAAGTAAGCCAGGGTATGACTTCACAGTGCACTAGCTACTCTGCACTAATGCTGTCTGTGGAAACACTTTACGTACACTAAGTACAAGGTAACATTTCATTTTCAGTGTGGAGGAAACTATATACAAAGGTATTATTGTACTTTCTTCTATGAGAAGTTCCCATAGGGCTTAGTGCTTAGTAATTAACTAGTGTTTCATAAATTCATGACCAGTCCTTGTCTACCTTTCTTGATAAAATGCCTTAGCCCTTCAGACCTAAGATACAGATAGTGGAAAGCAGAAATATGGACATTGTTATGGTGGTATTGGAGGTATATCACTGTCATCAGGCTGTAGAGAAAATACTATAACAATGTTTAGTAGGTGTTAGTATGTTTGATTATATTCTTAGACATAAACCTGGACCCAAACTTCCGTGGTTTAAACAGAGGAAGAAAGAGTTAGGTCCCTCCTACACATTACAGGTATTGCACAATTCACTGAGACCAGCTACACGTGAAAAGTACCTATCATGCCATAAAAAGCTCCAACCAGCTATAAAATTAGACCTCAAAATTGTGTACTAACTTTATAGGTGGTTGCTATCCAGCTTTAACTTACACATGTAGCATAGTCTCTCCTGAGGCTGGGAGACCCATCAACTGACTGGGCTCTTAGCTACAGACGTGCAGCAGGCCTAACCAGGGCTGGAAGTCCTGCAGCTGAGGAGGCTCTCAGCCCCAGCAGTGCCTAACAGCTGCAGACTTTAGGTCCCAGTAGTACCCCATGGCTGCTGGGACCCCAAGTCTCACAGATACAGACACTGGGTTCCAGGAGGCACAGAGCATGGCTGCAATCTCCCAGCCCTGGGTGTGCATGGAGCCCCCCATAGCTGGGAGATCACAGCAGCTCTGTCTCCCAACTGTGAAAGTGCATAAGGCACCCCCACAGCTGGAAGCCCCTCAGCTGAGGGGCCTCCCAGCCATGGGAGCTTGCTTCTTGCCAGCGGAGGGGAACCCCAGGATCAGGCTTCCTCTGCATTGGCCATAGGATACAATGGGATCTAATGTGGCAATCCCACAATCACACTTCCTGCCATGCATGTGTGGCATGGTGGGAGGCACAATAGTGTGAAACACATATTAGATTTCATCATACCTTTACCTGCATATGTAGAGGTGCCCTTAAAGTGCTAATGCCAGGTGGAAGATGCTAAGAATTAGGCAAATGATGTATAGATATCCATATATTATAGCTATGTAAACATAGCAGGAAAAGTGGTAGACTAGACGGTAACAAGAAGATTGGTATGCCAACCACTTGGCTCCAGCATGTCTAGGAAAACCCAAGTATGGATTAATGGTAAACAAAGGTGTTTGGGGAAAAATAAGATAGGCAGGCATGAACACAAGTTTCAGGATAGATCTGATCAATTTCTCGAAAGCAGACACCTTTAGAAGATGATGATGATGTAATGAGAAATCTAGGAGGATAAAACAGAGTGAGAGAGAAGAGTCCTTTGCTAGCCGGAGGTAGATGTGCTGGAGTCCACCAGCCTGAATCAGCTTGGATGTCTCCCTCACTGTCTCAGTTGTAAGTATTCTCGTGCTTGTCAGTGTAACTCCTGTGTGGGGGTGGTTGCTAATAAATGCTGTGCTATCTGATATATAGTTGGTATTTGCTGTAGTACTTTAAAATGCTCTTTAAAATAACTGCATAACTGCTACTGGCTTCTGGATTTAATACAGGCACTTCAACTGAATGACTGACATGGTCAGTTGGATTCCAACACAGGCCAGCAGAGAAAAATATAGAGAAAAATACGGAGTAATTATTAATGACTCTAAAACTTTAATTTTATTCTACTGTGTTTTGTCTAGACATTAAATATAGGAAAATTATATTTGCTGTGTGTGTCACTCTTCTTAGACAACTCTGGGTATAATGTTAAACTAGGACAACAAAATGTGTAATTACAGTTACAAATCAATATTAGCGCAAGCTTTGGAGCTCCCCTGATTGGGTCTAATCTTCTGCCTGTTGAAATCAATGAAAAGCTTCCATTAACCTCAGTGGTCAGGGATTAGATCCATAATGAACACAGATCTCAATGGCAAAATAATGTGACTGGGAAAGCTTCAGTAATGGTATTTTATAAACCTACATGGGGCCAGCCTTTTAGTTCTCATATTGATAGAGCCAATACGGTGGAAGACATGGGGTGAGGACGATGGGGCAAGCTTGGAGGAAAAAACATGCCGCTTCTTTACATGAAAAAGAAAAACAGCTAGACAGTATACTTTCTTCCATCCTGTAGACCACTGCCAGATCATGGTAATAAAGCAGGGTCCTGCTGTGGCTCCAGAAGGCATGAGTTCAAAGCCTCAGGGCAGGCTTTGTGCTGAAGGCTACCTCTGGTGAGAGAGAGGACAGAGACAATACAGTAAACAGGTATCTAAATTAGATGTATCTCCTCAAATATTCCATCAGTCCTACAGAGCTCTAGCAGTAGTGGGGGCACTAAAGTACAAAAGGTGCAGGTATCTCCTGGCATTTTAAGCATCAGGTCATATCATCCTATTCAGAGTAAATTTGTGAGGCATGGTGAATCTAACATTGCTCCTACTGGTGGACCTGAACTGGCTGTACAAAAGTGCAAAGTATTTGGCAAAAATCCTCATGCAAACAATGTTAATATGGCAAGCATATGGCAACAGAGCTCAAGATCTGTTTAAAGATGATTACTGTAGAATCAACTGATCTTCTGTAACCTCTCTCAGTACAACTGCAGAGCATAGCCAGTAGCTTTCCAGTCAATCACAGCACAGCCAGCATGACTGGATTCCCTTATTTTTCTCTCCTTTGAAGCCCTGACTGGACAAGAGACAATTTCTGTAGCTTTCTTGCTATTACTAATGATGGTTTAGAAAAATTGCTGTTGTCATTTCAATCAATACATCAGTTACCTTTATGGAAGTCTAATTAACATGGTGATTACAGGCATCAGTTTGTCTGCAGTCAGCTCTCGCCATTGCTGATATCATAGGAAATACACTCTCATTTTTTTTTAAGATTACACAGGGCCTGAGAACAAACAACATATTCTTTTAATGGATTGACTCAGCATAGGGTTGTTGGTTGTAGCTGTGTTGGTCTAAAGACATAGGCAGACAAGGTTCTTTCCAACTATTTGAGTTGGTCTAATAAAAGATATTGGATTTACCCAAAGAACCTTGTCTGCTTACAAAAACTAGGCATGTGTCTGGGGCTGTCTCTGAAGTAGCTAGTATCAGGCCTTTAGGACTTCCACCTGGGAATGCTGTACGACACGCACTTTCCATTCTAGGCACACAAAACTCAAGTCTGTAGTTCTTGCTCGTCTCTGCTGTATATTTTAACAGTAAGCATATACACATTCCTTGCAACCTGTAGAGATAAAGTATCCACTAAAACCACCTAACCATTTCCATTAAGATGCCTTAGGTCACGGGTTGTAGAATAAAATGACCAGACTATTTTTTAAAAGGACTAAGGACTGAAAAAGCTGTCTTAGACTCCCCTAGCACTATTCCACTACATATTTTTCAGTGAAGCTTTGACTTCCCAGTGAGGAAGTAATATGTTGTTGGATTGAAAACTACCTCCAAGACTTGCCTTAAGAAGACAAATTTCAGGTAGACTTAACCCCCCGCCCCAACTTATTTACACAATACTAGGGTCAGGAACAGGAATGAGTTAATAAAACTGAGGGAGAAACAGGATGTGAAAAACCAGCAACAGAAATTTTCCTATCAATAATCTAAAACAGGCTTACCAGAGACTACATTCTTTAAAAAGAATGTTTATCCTTGCACTGGGATTATCCTGTGGTGGGTCTGATTTTTCTGTTTGACCCTTTAGCTTGTTTCATTTCCCTTGCACTACTAGGTGTGACGAACTAAATTTGCATTCTTTGAGCTGCATGTATTCTGCCACTACAAAAGTAGGCAGGGATTACATTTCTGCATCCCCATTTCTCAATTTTCAGGCAGAATGTTTCACTCTCTTGTTAGCGCAAGTGTGTAATGAATATGTAAATACCAAAATGAAAACAGCTTCATTAAAAATATAAACAAAACATTTCTTTATAGTTGCAGCTAGCATTATTTTGGTTAGAATGTCCAGAAAACAAGAAAGAGCAAATAACAATAATACTTTCATTATACATAGCAGTTTTTTTATAGGCAATTTGTTTTTCTGTGAATCAAAACACTATATTTAGTATATGTCATAATCAGCATGTGAGGGCATGGCAATAAAAATCAAAACAGGCAGATCCAAAACATTTTTAAACAGATATCCTATATGAAATTGCAAGAATGCAATTTAGGTTTACTATCCACAGCTGATTTTTAATTTAACTGTCCATATTGGTTCATTTTCATTCTGTTCTATTTAAAAAAAGATGGATTTATTTTGAAGACTTAAACAAAAAATGGTCACTGCAAAATGATCATTCAACAACATGGTGCTTAAAGTGTTTTGAAAACAAACTCTGAAAAATTCTTTTTCAAAGCTTAATTAAGCTTTACTTGGAACTCCTTTGAAATATTCTTCCACTGCAATAGTAGAAACACCTCCATACCAGTTATGAAGCCAGACATGCTCAACACTCATCTTCATGAAGAACCATTCATAGTTACGAGGCCATTTCCTTATGACTGGATGTCTGAAAGGATTAAAAAAAATTCTAATCTGAAAGAGTTAATATCATTCAACAGTATTTGTCTTCTCTCTTTGTAAAGCCCAAGTTGTTCTAAACTGGCAGTAAGTAGGAGCAAGGTAGCAATGGGAACCCAAGCTCCTTTAAAGGGTGAAAAAACTTGGGTGACAGCATGAGGTTCTTCTGTTCATTCCAATACATAAACCCACTTAAAGGCCTTGTAGAATTCAGATCCTGCTTTCCAAAAGCATTGGATCTTCTGCTTCTTTTGAGATTGCATGTTACTTCACAAGTAGTGATGGAAAAAAAGGGCTGTCATTTTGACTCCCTATGCACTAGCCAACAGAGCAGTCTTGCTGCATGGAGGATAGGACTTAAGTAACAGGTGTCCAGTCTTTGCATTCCTGGGAGCACAGGAGGCATTTGGGATGCTTCCTTGATCTCCTATGAGGGCTAAAGACATCCCACTGCTCCTTAATTTGTGGTTAAATGACACACTCTTGTCTTAAAGAAAGACTAACCAAAAGTCATAAATCCTAGAATTAAAAGCAGATTCTATAAGAACTATATTTAGTTCTGTTTGTTTATATAATCTATTTGACTGTCCCAAGAGTACAAAGAAGTCCTAAAGTCCTGTATAAGTGGTGATGGGTAGAATTTTAGATTGACATAGTCCGTGGCCCAGCACAAAAAGACTAGGTCTGATCCTTATGGGATAATCAGTCCCAGTTGCCTACATCATTATTTATTGGTCTCAAAATTCTAAGCTTTACTATATTATATAACTATTACATACAAACCTGGAAAACAGTGCTTGCTTGGCAAATTCCATTTCCTCTGGAGGCACCATGATCATCTGTCCTGTAAGGGTCAGTTTGGCACACCTTGGATCATCAGGTTCAATTACATTTTTTCTGAACACAGGAAAAAAGTTTGTCTATCATAGTTTGTTTTTATAGCAGGAATTTTTAAGAAAGTATTTATAATGGCCAAATATGAGTAGTGCTCTGTATGAATATAACTCATGCTCACCTGTTTAGTAGCTCTAGTATTCTAATCCAAAGATCAGAACTGCAAACCTTTATTTGCCTGAGTAATAATATTCAGTAAAACATTGTAGAGGGTTAAATAGTACTTACATGAATTAGAACTGCAGAATCAGGTCCAAAGTTTGTACTAATTCATCTATGTTCTAAACAAATGCTTTTTAAAATAGATTAGTACATACTGTCTAAGAACAGAAGAAAGAAATTGTTCTAATCTTTCACATGGCCAGCTGGTCTATTTAATTCTTGAAAATGTATGCTGTAGAACAAGGCACACAACAGTAACAAAAAGGTTTTTGCCATCCATACATAGAATTAGTCAATTATTTTATAAGCAAACCAACTTCTTTCGCTGTCTTACCCAAAAACCAAAACATGTAATAGTTTCCTTTACAACCTTATCATAAGGTTGGACTAAGGATTTTGAGGAGGATTAGTGAGATGGTTAGTATGCATCTTAACAGGTTTAAAAAAATGTGTATTTATGTGCTTTTAGCTGCCTTCCTCTTAGCTTTCTGCTGAAGATCCAACTGCCTATGCTTTTCTACCCAATCTTTATAAAGAAAAGGAATGGACTTACTATCTTTAAAAAATGAGAACTCCAGGACATCTAGGTCCTTCAAGTTAGACAATTTGTTACTGTTCTCCTGCTCTGCCTATCCGGTTATAGTATTTAAAATAAGTCATGGTAGTACTGCTCTCTGTTCACAGGTGTAAGTCAAGGATAACTCCACGGATGGCAAAGATGTTCTGTACAGTTATGCCAATAACCTGATCCTGACATGTGATCAGTAGCCTCAAACATCCAGTGGTTTTAACACAGGTTGAGATTACTCAACACTTTGCAGGACTGAGGCCTACATGAGAGTGTAATTAAACCCCAGGAATCATATTAGGGCACTGGGATTGCAGTTCTTAGTCTCAGTGTTTTAAACCAAAGAAGAAAACCACAGTAAATTAAATCTGATCCACAACTGATTTTATTCAAAGATCCTGGCTTGAACTCTTTAGCCCTCACCATGTATATGCAATTTGCAAATGCATTTTTCCTTGTAATTCTTAATGTGGTTCTTTTGCATGCAGGAAACATATGGGAATCCTCCCGCAGCTAATTTAACACCTGCAAATTCCCCACAGATGGTAATGAAAGACTACATTGCCTATTGGATAAAGTGTCTGCTTTTATACATAGGGCCAAGAACTTGTATTTGCCAGAGAACATAATGGGCTGATATTCAGCTGTGCCCAGTAAACAGTTGGCACCATTTTCAGCATAAGCCACAAAGGAGCCATGTGCAGTTTCCTCATCCTGAGGCTGGTTTTTCATTATCCTCAGCAGTTCTGAGCAGCTTAAGCTCTCCCAAGGAGCTACTGCACTTGTAAAAATTACTCCACACTGTCTGTGTTCTCTCTCTAGAACACTTTCTTCATTGTGATAGGGCTGGGGAAAAAGTCCAAGGCTTGATTCTGCCTAATTTTTTCATTCAAATGATGGTTTTTTTTTCTGAGGAATGTTCAGCTTTTTTTAGTACTAGTTAAATTAAGTAATTAATTAATGTTACTCTGAGTACTTGAAAATCTTCATTCCCTAACCAGATTATAAATTCAATTAAACCAATGTAAATTTAGAGAAAGAACTTGTTTAAATAAATTAGAAGTTAATTCACAATTTCCAGCTGACAACAGTAAAATAAAGTAAATTTCAGTAACTTGACCCTATTTCATTCTAGGGTAAATTGCTGTGGTTTAATCTTCCGTTACTGTGTGATACAAGCAGACAGATGAAATAGTTACAACAGATTCTTCTGACTATAGTAGGTCCTCCACTACCTGTTTTAATGTGGTACAACTGTTACATCTGTTCGTGCCTTGAGATCTGTCTAATATCTGACTTCCTGTGTTCAACCATAACAGTGCATTAATATATTTGTAGTTTGTTTGTTCATTTAGTCAAGTCTGTTTTAAAAATAATCAAAAGGAACTTTTTGCCAGTCAAATATGCATGCATTTTAGCATTCAGATTCAAATAACAGGCTTGTTTCTAAATGCATGGAGCTGACTTTTCAAGAGTAACATGGCAGCAACATAGCTGAGCAATTGGGAAGAGCATTTTTTTTGCAAGTGCATTTTTGTCTTGCATAATTATTGCAAGTTTCTTACAGGTAGCATTATAATAATAAATGTTCACGTAAGAAGGTCAAGTATAATGGGACTGGTGAAGATGGGAGATCTGGTTTGACTATTAATTTTAGGAGTTATAAAAGATTACAATGGCTAGGGATGGAAGTTGCACATAAACTGGTTTAAGTGATCAGAAACTGGTTTAAACCTGTAACAGGACATAAGTCCAGTGCACCAGTTACAAAATGGCTGAAACTGGCTTTAGATAATCCTGGTTGAATGTAGTATCTGACTTTAACTGATTGAACTCAAACCAGTTTATGCAACTTCTGTCCCAGACCACTTCCTGATTTAAGTTCAACCAGAGTCCCCCAGCATCCCAACATGCTCTCTGGGCTGGGTTGTGCTCTCTATTACAGTGGAACAGGGCTGGCCCCTCCCCTTTGCTCCCCAGCCAGAGCAGAGACAAGCAGGGGTAGGGGCCTGGCCAGAGGCTGGCCCTGGAAGGGAGCAGGGAAGAGTTTTATTTTGCTTCCCGCACCCCTCCCCCCATCCTACCAGCATGGACCTGCATGTCTCCACTGGCTGCTCCAGCAGTGGGGGCATTGCCAGCCCCAGCAGTAGCCTGGAGTGAACTGGCCAAGGAGGGGTTTAATTTCCCCCTCCCTGTCCCACCAGCACAGACTGGAGCTGGGGTCTGCCGGGTGATTGCCCCTCACTGCTGCCGTGGCAGGTCTGGGGCGCAGCCAAATGCCAGCCGGAATGGACCCTGAGGCAGAGGGGCAGGCAGGACGAATTATTCCCCCCTCTAGCCCTGGGGCACTGCAGCTAGTGTCTGCCCACTCCAACCACCACCACCACTCCCTGCATGGGGCAAGCACTGGAGCACTGGAGCAGAAGCAAGCACTGCCCACTCTGCCAGATGTGGGAGGGAGGAAGGAATAACCTCCCTCCCTGCCCCCTCACTTCAGGGGCTCTGCGGTCCAGCCTCTGGCCAGGTCCCTGACCTTGCCGCTGCAGCAGCAAGGGGGCAGGGCCCTTGATGGGGGCAGCAACCCCCGTCCTGGTGTCTGGGGAATGTGAGCCTCTTCTCAGCAGTGGGGCCCATGAGTGGCGATCAGAGCTGTTGCAGACTGCATGGGGCAGGCAGCGGCACCATGGCTCAGAGGGGGCCACAGGTCCCTCAAGGGCCCCTAGTGCCGCCACTGCTTGCACTGCGCAGTCTGTGGCAGCTCTCCTCATCCCACAGTGCCACTCCACTGCTGGGAAGAGGCTTGCACTCCAGGACATTGTGACAGGGGCTGCAGCCCCCATCAGAGTCGCTCCCCCCTCACTGCTCCAGCAGCAGGGGCTGGGCCAGAGGCTAGCTGGCATGGCCCCCTTAGGTGGGCAGCAGAGAGGAGGGTTATTGCCCCCTCTGCCCCTGGGGGACTGCAGCGGGGTCTACTCACCCTGAGCACTGCCACCACCACTCACTCCTTGCAGGGAGGGAGCAGCAGAATAATCCTCCTCCTGCCCCCTCCACCAGACACTGGAGTGAGGGAGGAATAACCCTGCCCCCTGCCTAAGCAGGCCATGCCGGCTTGAGTGGCGAGTGGGGAGTGACCCTGCAGCCCCTGTCAAGGTGTCCCAGTGTGTGAGGATCTAGTGGCAGAGTTGGGGGCCATTGAGGTTATTCCTCCCTCCCTCTGGTGTCTGGAGGAAGAGACAAGAGGGGGCTTATTCTGCTGGTTGCCTGGTCCAGGCAGTGGTGCCAGTCAGGGCAGGCAGACTGCCTCAGGGGCCATGTCAGCTGGTGTCTGGCTGTGCCCCAGCCCTGCCACTGCATCAGCAAGGGGGTAGCATGTGGTGGACCTCAGTTTGGGTCCATGCCAGTGGGACAGGGAAGAGGGAATTAAAATTAAGTCAGTTCACTCCAAGCTACTTCCAGGGCTGGCCACATCTCCCCATCCCACCCCCCAGGACAGCTTCCCTGCAGCCAAGGGCTGCTCTAGCGCCCCCCAATGCCTGGCCTCAGCCACTGCAGGCATGTGCCTGCATTTTATGAATGTCTATTCCAGGGGTCAGCAACCCCTGGCATGCATGCGGAGCATGGCACACAAGGCCATTTTGCTCAGCACATCACCACCAGCCCAGGCTCTAAGCAGCTGCTGCCAGCCACGGAGGCCAGGGTGCTTCCATCAGGCAGCTGGGAGGCTGCAAGCCCTGCTGCAAGCAGAATGGGCCCCGTGGGCCAGCTGCAGCTGGGAGGCTGCAAACAGCTGCTCTGGGCTCCAGCACATCGGGGCTCCAGCACCTACCAAGGTGCTGGAGCCTACCTTGTTTTTTCAGTACTCCGGCCAAAAAACGTTGCCTACCCCTGGTCTATTCACTTGCAAATTGGTTCACTCTAGCCAGGTTAGACTAAACTTCAAAGATTGAATCAATTCAGGCTCTGACTTTCTGAATGTCTGTCCCTAACCAATCAGATCCATTCTCCGAACCAGTTCAAACCAGTGGTGCTCAACCTTCTGGCCCCATGGGCTGGATGTGTGGCACAGGGATGGCCCACAGGCTGAATCCAGCAGGGGGTGAAGATAGGGACAACTGCTCCAGTGCTGACTTTGCAGGGGAGAAGCGTGAAAAAAAGCAGCTGCTGCTATTCACAATCCCAGTGATAACTGGAAGTCACTGCTTGTTTTGCCCTGAGCACCTGGATACGTCCTTACACTGTTGGGATCCAGTGTTGCATCAGTGCATAGGTCAGT